AGGGCATAAAGGATGTGCTATCTGTGCTAACCGATCGCTCCTACCTCAGCTCGAGGAAGAGATCGGACTCCGAGGCAAGGTCGACACTCTGATAAACTGGGACCCAAGTGAATGACACGACATCTCGTAACATGAGGAGACTCCTTATACCCATAGTCAGAGTAATTCTTGTGTCGAGCGGTGTTTCACCTATCACGGGTATCAATACCCCCCCTCCCCCGGATGGTCTCTCAAGTCATGAGACTCCATTAATGGCTCTACATCACACACCCGCCAGCTTCATCCATCAGTGAAATTTTTCATGTGTATCTTTTTTGCTTCTGATCACCAGAACTATTGAACATTCAATACCCTCGTCCAACGTATTCACAGGATCCAAAAAATAAAGTCTTCGAGTCTTCCCACTGGAGACTTCTCTCCGCTCGGCACAAACCGCCTTCATGATGATCCCAGCCGCTATCCGAGTCCACAGCGCAGTTCAGGAAGCAAAGACTCAAGGAGACTGCCGAGTGTGACCACCCACCCGCCACACTCAAAATCTCAAAGTACCACGCGTAAACCCGGGGCGTCCATGAGGCTCGCCAGATGCAGGAATGTGCAGCGAGGGACCTCGAAGACACGCAAGCGAGAGTAACATTCGTTCGCGTCACAGACTCGGAAGGAAAATATCACATTTCAAGAATAGAACAGATATGGATACAATGAGCACAAATACAGACTCCCTCGTGGAAAGAAACTCGACAGCTGCTGCTCGATTTCAAGAGCTTCAGGCCCTCTTTGCGCCCCTGACTGCATCGGGCCTCTGAGCGAGCCGAGGAAAGAGTGATGGGAGGAAGAGAGAAAGACGCCACTGGTCAGTATGGAGCCCGGCGGCATGTAAGAGCCAAGTTGGGGATAACTTACTTGGAACGCCCCCTGGACGTTTGCTACCAACTCTGGCGATGTGTCGCTCAGAGTGTTCAAGAATCGGATCGCATTGAGATCGTGCTGGGAGAGGTGAAGACGGCTTGGGCTATCCACTGGTAGGGAAATAATTTTCGTCAGTTTGCTATGGTTTAAGGGGAATAATTGAGCTGTACTCACATCCGTACTGGTCTGAGACTCGGGATGTCATGTTGGCCTTGCCGGCGGCGACGAGCCACTCTTTGAGTGGGATGTTCTCCGACATAGATGGTGATGTTTGTGGAGAAGAGTGAGTGTGGGGTAGTCGAGGAGCTCTGCTCGGATGATGTAGTGTGGGTTGTTGGATTTGGGAAAGCTGACTCGCCCATTCCTTTATATACGCAGAGAGTTGGAGAGATCGAAAGACGACGTGATCTGAATCGCGGCGCATGTCGTGTGCGGACCTGCATTGGCGAGGTCACGAGCCATGGCGGCTCTGAGCAACTGCCAATAGGGAAGGAGGTGACGCGAGCGCTTCAAGGGAGGCCATAGAGTAAGACGTGGCCGTCGGTAATACGGCAACCACGGCGTCCGCCACGTGGATGACGCTATCCCCCACATTTCACAACGGAGTTTGGATCCACGTAGAGATCCAGGAGAAGATTCGCAGACCCGTGAGCGGTAGCGCAACGCTTCTTTGGTCCGAGTGTATTTTGAGACGAATGAAGGCTGGTCTGGGGTAACGTAAAACCGGTGGAATGACTCTATCCCATGATCTGAAAGCTGTGGCAAAGGCGATATAAGACGTCGGGCTGGGATTGACGGTGCCAAGTTGGAGCACCGCAAGAGTCGGCATACTACAGCGTTCTCCACATTCACGCTGGGCTTCCTTCGACGACCGTGGCGTTGGCACATCGAGCCTTATGACTTTTCTGATTGACGGGGGGACGTTCCGGGGGGCGTATCCAGGCCCTGCATGCCACGCACGTCAAAGGCGACAGAAGTGTGCTCTGAGAAAATATTGCGGGGTAAACCAAAACTTAGCCACCTCGTCTGGAGCCGACGACATTAAAACACGACATCAGTTGATAGACGCACGACCGCCAAGCGGAGCCAGTAGCACTCACCTTCCCGCAAGCCGTGTGCGGGTGACAGCGAAAGCCCAGTTTGTGGCATAGTGCCAGCGTGGTTACGGCGCTCGAGCCGGCGCGAGGCTGCGTGCGTGTGTCCTACGTCACCATCATCTGATCATGCGTTGCACGAGAGGCTTTCACTTTAGCCGCTACCCCCCAGTTTCTGACGAGCCACGCTTGAGCGGTCAAATAATGTGACCTTGAAGAGTTTGAATGAGGAATGAATTCGTGGTGGTGAAGAGTCGGACGTCGGTATTTTCCAATGGCCGCCGGTATCCATATCCATTGGGTGAGCATGACTAATCCCCGAGGTCATCTGCCCTGTATAGCTTGCTATCTTTGGCCTCTAAGCCTCTTGTGAGAGCAGCAGAACCGAGCTGAGACTCAAAGGGGTTCAGCACGCTGTGTCGACGCATCGGTGGTCCAGACTCTTGAGTGCAGGAACTTTTGTCTTGACTCTTGGGCGCTGAGCGTCGAGATGAAGCCTCTATCGCGCCCAACAGCATGCCAAAAGGGAGCTAGACGGGGTGGGATGACCTTCGCGCAGTGCGAGTATACGCAATTGCGATGGCCATACATGGCAGGCCCCCACGAGGAGAGGGCGACGAGGATGTGAAAAGGTGTGGGGGCGTGGCCTGCCGAAAACGGCACTTGCTATGTATAAAAGGTGGATCGTGGAGGCTTCGCCTCCAGCCCCATCCACTTGTTTTTTGACCACTGTCGGTTGTGTCGCCTTGAAATCAATTCGTTCGCCTACTCGGCTCGTCGAGTGCCCTGTCACTGTCCCCGCGTAATCGCTTGTCTGATGGGGTTGGCTGCCACCATATTTCCGAATGTCGCCGACTTCGAGCCGCCATCCGAGTCCCTCGTCTCCCCGAGCGCGTCAATACGGGGCCAAGAAGCCTATATGAACGGGATGAACAACCCTCCGACCTTTGAGTTTGCTGATATCGGGCAGCCCGAATGAATCTGCTTACTCGGGAGACGTGGTGTAAGTGCCGGTGGCGATACTTATCGATCGGCTATGCGAGCTTTGCGCCGGAGCGACCACGGTGTACACTGCCCGTCGAAGATGTCGAGCGGTGCACATTTCCCGGAGCCTTCGCCCAGTCTTTACGCCTGTTTGCTCCGCGTCGCCATTATAGGACTCCCCCTGTAAGTTAAAGTTGTAACGCATCGTCTCAAGGCCTTGTGCTCACTCCTGAATCTAGCTCTTGGCGATGGTTGGTTGAGATGCTCCGACACTATCCACCAAGGTTGATGCTTATCACTGCAAGCTCTATACGGACTGCACAGGCCAAGGCGCAAAGCAAGCAACGCAGCAGAGGCTGATAATTGCACAGCGCCAGGGCCGTGTGTTTCCTTTTTGGGGGCCTGCGTCATCGTTGGATCCGCTATATAAAGAGATTGCGAAATCAATCTGATCTACCGCATATCAAATCCCCCCGCCACCTTCACCTTCACCTCCAACCTCGAATCATGTCCTACAACTATGGCGGCGGCGGCGGCGCTGGTGGCTATGGCGGTGGCTACGGTGGTGCTGGTGCTGGTGCTGGTGGTTACGGCGGCAGTCATACTGGTGGTGGTGTCCCCCCTGGTTTGTGCTCACCTCGACAACGAACGCGCACCGTTTTGAGTCTCACCTTGCCCCGATTTCACTAGGCTACGGTCAAGGTCCCCCTCCCGCAAAGCCAGGTGGCGGCGGCCCAGGCGGTTTTGGTCCTCCCCCGGGTGCTCCTCCAGGCGCCGACCCCCAACTTTGGCAGTGGTTCAGCAGCGTCGATCTCGATCGCTCCGGCCACATCTCTCCTACTGAGCTCCAGGCTGCGCTGCGCAACGGCGATTGGTCTCGTATGCGCCTTATCATCCTCAATCCGGGGTAACGCCGCTAACTTGAATGGGATGGTACAGCTTTTGATCTGGATACGGTGAAGCTCCTTATGAGCATCTTCGTAAGCAGAGAATTCGCGGTATCCCAAAATACATGGCCTAATTTTATCTTGACAGGATACGGACCGCAGTGGCACCATCGCCTTCAACGAATTTGCCGGGCTCTGGAAATATATCAAAGACTGGCAAAAGTAAAGTCGATCATTCGGTGGCTTTTCGTCAGATCCTGACTCGTTCCTTTTTCCTAGCGTCTTCCGCCACTTTGATAGAGACAACTCCGGCACCATTGACGGGCAAGAGCTCGCCACCGCCCTCCGCCAGTTTGGGTACAACCTCTCCCCGAACCTCCTTCGGCTTCTCGAGCAGAAATATGGTGAACCTCTTTCTCAATTCCTCGCCCCTCTTTATCATCTTTTCGTATCTTCTCCCATTGAACTGAAACTAAACGAATTCCCCCTTTGGGGTAGATGTTAAAGCATCGGGATCTACTGCTGCGCCCGCTTATCCTGGTACTCGCGCCCCTCCTCCCGGCATCTCCTTCGATCGTTTCGTCCGCGCGTGTGTTGTTATCAGGCAGCTGACCGAAGCCTTCCGGAGGTACGCCATCGTTTCTCATTCTCGCCAACCTGCAAGCTGGCTAAAGCGTCCACTTGCTTTTGACAGGCTGGACACCCAAGGCTCTGGATGGATCCAGATCAACTACGATACGTTCATGGAGGTGCGTTTTCCCTCGATATCCATATAGAGCGCACGGTACTCACTGTTTTGGAACCTGCAGACCGTGTTGCAAGCCCCGTAAATCCTGCAGCACCGCTATTTGTACTTCTCGATCCGGCTCGTACTGTTCATACATAGTACTGTGTAATTCTCGAACAACGAAGTCTTTGCCCGTGTAATTTTTCTATACAATAAATCAAACGTCTCTTGTTTCTCTCACCCTTAGTCGGGGCAAGTTGGCGCTCCAGGAAAGTGACCAAAAGCCAGGAGGCGATATCCATTTGTTGGTAAATGCGGGGGAACTTGCGATTAGATTGCACGGCTGTTTCTCGCGTTAGATTGTTGGATTTGTCCATTACCCGGACAAAATACTCAGTATACCCTCCCTAGGAATCGAACCTAGATCTCCCCGACGTATACCTCAGGATATATCCTGAGGTTAGTTTCGAGGCGCAATATCCGCTATACTAGGAGAGAAGTTGAGCTCTTACCGTCTTATCGGCTCGACGTCCATGCTGCCTGCGAAGAAACGAGCGCCAGGTGCGAGTAAGAGCTGCGTGGACGCAGGCCCCTAGTACAAATGTGAGTGAGCGCCTGAACTACGTAAGTCGAGTAGCTTGCAGCATCTCAAGAGAAGTAGTACTTGACCCTCCCTAGGAATCGAACCTAGATCTCTCCGGCCTGCTAGTATACTAGTGCCGAGGCGCAATGACCGTTATACTAGGAGAGATGTTATGGAACCTCGGGGCAGCGCATCGCACCTTATTGTATTGCCCGTAATTCTTGGTATCGGATATGGGATTGAAGGGATTACGTGATTATCAAACGCCGAGTATCTCGGGATCCAGATGCGTGTTGAGCCGTGGGATGGATGGACTACATATAGGCCATGTCCACTGGTAAGAAGTTCACGAATTTCAACTGTTTTGTAGCTTGCCGCCGTCTTGGGTTTATCGCGAACCATGCGCTGCTCCTCCTGATGCTGTGATAGGGAAGTCCAGCATTAGTCGTTGGATGCAGATTTCCCCAAAGAAAACGTCGACGCTCGAAGCACTGGAGAAGCGAACAACATACCGTCACGATTGGTTGTATCCTTTGACTGGGAGCCTTGAGCGCTTGAACGCCAAGTGTTGATTAAGTACATCTTGGGACCTTGTGTAAAGGGCTGCATAAAAGCATACATATGCGCTCTATGAATTGAAAGAGCTCGGACCCCCATGCCCAGAATCTGATGTAGCATGCAAGTGAGATAGCATACACTAGTACTTGTGAGTTCAGTATTATACCTTCCTGATTATAAAAATTTAGTTCTATCAATGTAGCAGACCAAGATACCCAGCTGATACTTGTGCATTATGGGGATCGTACCTTCGAGGATGGTGATGGAGAGCAGCAAGAGGTGTGATTGTCATGGTGTCCAAAAGCGGATGAACAAATTGGGCGCAAAGAAGCGGGGGGCGAGGCGATTGGTCAGCACCCGCGAGATGAGCGGCGAGCGGCTCTTGGGTGGAGTATACATAGTACGACAATGTACGTACGGCCCCTGGCACTCGGCAACACCAGCTTTGTCTCCTAGTCTCTTAGATCGCCCATTCACCACGCCCGACCCAGCGATGGAGGCATCCCCAGCATCCCCCAAACGCCCACGCTTTCGGTTTTTCGGCCTCCTTGAGAGGTTCGTGCGACGCAGGCCGCCCACTCCACGCCGGCCGCGCAAGCGGGATACATCACCCGCCGTCGTCTTCCGTCCCCAGATGAACAAGGAGGTCGCAAACTCAGGGAAAGACGGCGACGAGGATACGAGTCTCGAGGGCATGGAGGAAGGGACCGAGGGCGTGGACATGTGGTGGGAGAAAACGTGGACGTTCGTCACTTTCCACGAGCAGGACAGGGAAGGAGAGTCGGAACACCGAAAACGGATGCAAGACACGCAGCTTCGCTTGCACCGCGAATGGGAAAGGAGGGACAAGGAGAGGAAGGAGCGCGCGTTGAAGGCCAAGGACCAGGGGATGCGGGACGCGGGCGCGGAGGGGGCGGGGAAGGGGGAGCAGAACCAGTGGGAGCGGTGGAGGTCGATCCAGCGGCAGCAGCAGGCCGCCACGTCCGCCTGGCGCAAATCGCAGCACACCAATCTCGAGCAGTGGGAGGCCCACTTGAACAGCAGCACCCCAAGGCCACCGCTGCCGGGCTCGACCAGCAAGCAGAGCCTGCCCGATATGCGGTACGCCACGGACTTGAAGGCCGACGCTGGATGGCACACGGTCAGCGAGGGTGTTCGGTGGCGCGCGGGGGGGAAAGGGAGTAATGACCGGCTGAGGATGAGCAGGAGCGGGGACGAGCTAGGCGCGAGCGGGCTGCGGTGGGCGAAGAGCGGGGACGAATCGGGCGACGCGCGAACCTCGAGGCCGGGACTGCGGGGCACGAAGAGTGGCGAAGAGTATAGCACGGCCGGACGACGGGAGGACTGGAATCGCTCCGGCGATCTTCGCAGTCCCGGCGCGGGCAGCTTCCCCAAGGCAAGACGGGGCTCCGAGTCCAGCAACGCGAGCAAATCACCCTCGATGGGGTACTCGAGCCGCGGCCGTCACGAAAGGCCGCCTGCTCCACAGATATGGACGCCCAACCCTCGCCAGCGACACCTGAGCGACGTGATCGAAGACCCACGAATAATACCCACCCTCAACGGCACCACCATCACGGTCGCATGGCAGGCATACGAGACGTACTGGACCACGATGCGCTCCGCGCGCACACTCAGCACCGCGCTCGACCCAAACTCGGGCATGCCCATTGGATTGACGACACTCACATTCGACACCATCGCGTGGCCGGTGGTGTCGCCCCCGCGTTCGCCCGAGTCACTCACGACGCGCCGCATCGAGGCATTCCTCCTCTCCGCGCTTCACTCGGGCGAGGCAACGCGTGCGCAGAGGCTGCGCAACGCCATGCGGATATGGCACCCGGATAAATGGGAAGGAAGCTGGATATGGCTCGTCGAGGAGAGAGACAAGGCGCGCGTCATGGAGGGCGTCGCAAAGGTTGCCAGAGCTCTGAGCGAGCTGCTGAACGCGGAGAGTTGGTGAGTTCTATTCTTGTCCACTCCCTCTCTCCGAAATTTCGTCGGGTGTGAGTTCTGACGACTCTATGCCACGATGTATAGAACGGAGCTTGGATCGCAGCTAACGCGCATATATATGCGCAAGTTAAAGCCACTCGAGCTTATTCGCCTCGACGACGAACGAGCAAGGAACATTGGCATGGAAGCGCTCCACCTTCCAATATTCTATTATACCCATGATATCACCCACGTCCCGGGTCAGGACTCAGACTCGGAACTACTGAAACTTCTCACTCTAATATATGACCTTGCATTCCACACGGGGAGTCTTTTCTCGCTACAGCGCTGTACACATTGACACGAATACATGTACAGGGATACAGGAAGGGCTACATGTCTACGCCTATGTAAATAACCAAGTATTGTATAAACAAGTAAATGCCTGCGCGCCGATCGCGCGATTCCCAACCTTTTCCTGTTGACAGCCACTCCCGCTCCTGAAGCCGATCATCTGCCGTGGGTTTCTCAACTCCCTCGTCCTGTCCCGTGTAGCCCGTGCTCTTGCCGTAATAGTCAATATACTTGGAGCGATGGAATTCAGCGCCCAACATTCAGCGTCGATATCAAGGGGTCATCCTTACGGTATGCAAGAAATCAGACTTGGAAACCACAGCGATGGCATATTTCCTCGGGGCTGCATCGGGCTCGATGAACGGTATGAGCGGTCATCGACATTCGCTGATATTCAGCATTATGGACGATTGTGAGAGTTGCTGAGGCAACCCCAAGCCACTCCGACGCGCATAGCGCAAAGTCCGACGCGAAAATTGGGAGGCGGTACGGTGTACAGCGCACGCGTTGGAAGTTGGAACTTCCGCATATGGGAATCGATTTGGACTTTTTGAAGGGTGATCGCAGGAAAGATGCGAATGAAGGGAATATCCGAGTAGATGGGGGACCCTGCCCCCTGCCGCTAGTCCCCATGAGGGCATGTTTCCTGTGGATCACTCGTGCCCCTTATCAGTTTCGCGGTGGGCCTCCAACGCTGACGCGCGTACGTACGCCCCTATATACTGACAGACTGATGCGGATAGAGGGGCCCCAAGTTACATAGTGATGGTGTCAAGCGGGGTGCCTGCCCAGGAAGCGACCTTCGTATCCACGTAAAGCTGAATGGGAGGAAGTGTGTTCAAGTTGAAGCACGGGCAGAGAATTCAAAGGGCGAAGCGACAACGGCAGTCGGGACTATTCAGGGATTGTGATATCCTGCAGGATTTCAACCCCAGAGGACCTTTTGGAAGAACCAGAGAAGACAGATACTTGATGGCTTTGTTTGAGCTCTGAGCTGTCTGCAAGTTGTGAGTATCTGCCGAGTATATGCGCATACAGAGTGGCTTTTCCTGCTGCTCTGAAGGTTGCAGCTGTAGGCCTGTGGATGCAGGAGGTTGAGTGTGCTCAGAGAGCTGGACAAGAGGCCAGAACAAAAGAGTTCAGTCAAACGGATATTGGAGATCAGGGCTGCATGGAAAGGAGGCTGACCGAGGAAGCCCAGGGACATGGGGTCTGTGGGTCCCTGTTTGCGCCGCCAACCCTGAGCTGGACGTCGCGCCGAAGTCCTCTCGTCGTCGTCCAAGACACGTCCAGCGCGTTTCTTCCTTGCTCCACCACCATCGCCGCCGTCGCTGCACTCTCGGTCGCCTCGCCTCCTGCGTCGCCAGCGGAAAAACACATACCTTCCTCGTTTCATAGAAACGCACCGCGAGGTAGTGCCGAGCTTATTGCTGGCTGCATAAGACACGCCGGTTCCTGCCTTTCACCACTCACGATCCCGTTTGGCTTTAGACGAGCTTCCCCCAGCTTCACCTTCCAAATGCTTCCACCAAAACGACCCACCGCGCCTTCCCAGGGGCCTGCCGCCAGCCCTTCGAAGAGTCTGGAGCCGCTGCCCGCTTCACCTTCGACACTCTCGATTCCCCGCTCGACGTCCCCCGCCGGACGCTCCTTTTTCCTCACGAAGCCGTCCAAATGGTTCTCTCGCTCTTCTGGGTCTTCGCCGCGTACACCAGAAGCAGAGCTCCGCGGCTCGCGACCCAGTCTGTCCCAGGCACCGAGGAGACCCGTCATCTCCCAACCGACGGACCCAAGACCCATATTGCCGAACACGACGCATTCACAAATCGGTGCTCTTCCAGGTAGCAAGTGAGTACTCCCTTTGGTGTATTGCAAGCCCGCGCGTTTTTTGCGTGATTTAAGCCCCATTCATTCGTGGCGTGGCGGCTGAGGGGTGCATCTTTTTGAAACTGTGCATATAACATTTGACGCGTTCTTCTCTCCCGTTTACCTCTTCACGTGCTCAACTTTTAAATCTTTGAGCTCTATATGCTAAAACTATTCATTTAGGTCCGTCCTGGACGTATCT